TTCCAGATTGTTTACGTAGTTCATCTCACTTCACCACTGTCAGTCTTATAGACAACTTTCCAGGTATCTCTGTAGAGTAGACCTTACCTTTGTTGAAACATCTGCATATACTTTAATACAAATTCTGACGAACAATGAACCCAAGACAATACTTTGGACAATAACACTGATTATTTTTTGAGATGTGGGTGTTTCAGATTTGATTTTATTTCTTTGAAATCTGTTCGTTAGAAAAGATCCATCTCAGTAGAGGATTAGTAGTTTCTGTGAACTTGAATTTATTGATTAAGGGGTTGCTAGGTACTATATCAAAGTCCATATTAATATAGATGTGCAGTATGATTACTAGTTGTTTTCGATCGCGAATGCGAGTCATAGGACACGTTGCACATGACCTTTTTCTAAGGAAGCCGTGTTATAAGTGGCCGATTAGGCGTTCCCCTCGTAGGTGACCAGATGTTTGATGATTAATCACTTCTGTTATGCGCAAGATGACGGGTGATATTTATTGATCTTCAGTTCTGTACTAGATTTTTCATTTCTGTCTATTGTTCGGAGACTACATAAGTTACCTTTAAGGTTTCTGGGTATGTTTCAGCTAATAAAGAGATAGTAAAGAGTATCGGTATATCGGAATCCGGCTTCTTGAGAAATCCCTTCCGTAGCTGCTACCTTGACGCGGCGATCGGGCTTGCCTATCGTGATGACCCAACCGAGCAATATTGGCTGGAACATATGTTCCTGTAGGTTCTACCATGCCAGGCAAGCCGATTGGAGAACGGTAAGACTAAAAGCAGCAACTCAAGGTCTGAGGGTGAAGTCGTACTGCTGACTGTAGAGGGGTGTGACATCAGTAAGGTGTTTCGCTCGGACAACCAGCATCTGCAGCGATGCTGCCTTCTCACAAGGAAGGAAGGGGTTAGAAAGGGTTGACCTTAAAAATGTCACACCTCACAGTACCTCACGGATTTCCGTCTCCGGCGGTAAGTCCCTTTGAAGAACGGAGCTAACACATTAAAAACCTTCCACAAGAAGGCCGTGCGTGACTGGCCTCAAGTAGTTGTCCCTTGGGCTCTGCGGTCACGCTCCCAGGTCGTTAAGACCAACACTAATCCGACTTCTTTTTCAGGTTCCTCAAGAAATACCCTTCCACGGTGTGGGCAGCCGGGAAGTGATATCAGCCCTCATACCCGTAACAGCGCACGAGACCAAGTTGGTCACATTCAAATCCTTCCTACACCTCCCAATACCTCTCTTATCTCCCCGACTAACCCTTCTCACGTTTCTTTATCACCTCGCACCGCTAGGGCAAACGATTCGAGTACGCGGAACGCTATTCCTGGTCTCCTGAAACCACGCTCTAAACTACACGTAGAAGCTTTTAACGTCCGAACACTGTGCCAAATAGGACAGCAGGCTTCCTTAGCTAACACTTTAGAATCCCGCGCCATCGATGTGTGCTGCGTCTCCGAAACGCGCATACAGGATCCGAGTAGCGTCATTCATTTGACCTCACCATGTCAAAGTAACGAACCAACTCGTTTCATGCTTCATGTATCGGAAAAAGATGGAAATATTATTCATTCTCAATCCAGGAGACTGGATCGATGGGCAGAACACTTTATGGATCAGTTCAATTGGCCTTCAGCCACACTTCGGTTTCCCACGATCTCCAGCCGACCTGATTGGTAAGTTAATATAAGTCCTTCGACTCTTTATGAAGTTGAAAAAGCTATAGGAAATCTGAAGCGTGGGAGAGCAGCAGGCCCTGACAGGTTTACTCCTGAGATTTTGAAGGATGATGGTCCAGTATTAGCAATGAGATTGACTGAGGTCTTATGTAGAATTTGGGAACTGGACGTAATCCCATCTGTCTGGTCTCAATCACTGATTGTTTCTTCGAAGCATTGCTCGTATATCCTGGGACCACCGGACAAGTGAGCAGTTGTTAGGAAACGGGTACTAGGTAAGGATGGCAAATCAATTGATAAAGTAGTGAAACTTCATCAGTTGAGATGGCTGGGACACGTGTTACGTATGCTCAACCATCGACTGCCCCGACGTGCGATGTTTTCTGATGTAGGAGCAGTTTGGAAGAAAGCTAGGGGCGACCAGACCGAAACACAAATCCATGAAGTCGCTGACAAGTGGACTGAGTTATGTCGGTAGGTGTAGACTACCTGGTTGGGGTCTGCGAAATGATAGCAATCGATGGTTAGAGACCCTGAATGACATAGCTCAAAATCGCTTGCGATATCGCAGGTACATTCACTTTTTGTGTTCTCCCAAATTCTAGTCTTCCGAATTCTTCAAATCCCTTCCATTTTTTCCTCTTTCCAAATTTATTTCACTGTATTATACCTTTTAAATAACATCTCCAAACCCTAATCTTTCGGATTACTGCTTATACTCTTACTACCACTGTAGTGAACGAGAACACAGGTGGGGACAAACGGATGTATTTAGCACAACAATTACAATCTATCTCAACAAAATCTGAATACCATATAGTCGATCGTCAATTTGCGAAATATTCATGCATCAAACCAAACTGGACTGTTTCTGTTGCAAACACCAATCCATTGTCTCCCATTCCATTGTTCATAGGTTTTCTTACAAATTCTATTATGTTCTCGCTCCACCTTTCTTGATCTTCGCCGTCTTTTGCTGCCAGACATTACGCACGTTATATACTAATGTCAATATAAGTAGCTCACATCACACCTCTACCACTACGAGATTTGAATCGACAACTGTATCTCTTTGCTAATGTGGTATGGCAACTCGAACTGATGTACGTACGTACGTACGTACGAAGTTCTACGTTGTCACTGACTGACTGATTTCCCGAAGAAAACAGATGCGATAGCGTTGGTAACTGAGCTTCTACTAAGTTTGAAAGTTTTGGTGGAATCAGTGATACTGCCAAGACTGAGGTTTGTATTACTGAGAGTTTGTTGCGAAGTAGTTAGCATCTGTATCAGGGATATGAGATGTACTCACATCGGTGGAGAACCAGCCACTTAGTAGTTCACAAACGACTTGTTGGTCATCATATTTGACTCCGTTATTTGGTATAGAGGGGATGTTATAGTTTGCATCCTTCATTCATTTTTCTTAATGACAACAGAGTTTCTGCGCTTTGGATATGCCCTTGGTCGCTGTATTACTGATATTCGCCAAAGCATCGGATTTCTCTTTCGTTAGCACAATTGTTTTTGAGAACATGGTGTATGTATGGTTACTAAAACTGAAGTCACCAAGTTTATGAAACTGAGTTGAGGGAAAGGAGTTTGTTTCTTATTTAACTACTTATGAATGGTTTATGTTTATGTGTAGGTTTGGGAAGGTGTCATTGGAAAATTTGATCAAAACAATATTCGAGATTTGTGCACGGTGTAACTAGGATTGAGATCAATTCATCATCTTAAAAGAAGGCTTCTCAGTTAGTTCTAAACAATAGATTCAGGTTTTCCTCCTGAATTTTCCACATCAAGAAACGGACGGGTTGTGCTTACTCGGATTATGCAGAAATATGTCTAAGAGAGAAACACTTTGTGATAGCCACGTGTAACCAGGTAGCTAAAATGAATGGTACTAGGAAGGGGACCGCATGTAAATATGAGGTCTACGCCGTTTTTGTTTGACTTGGGGAATAAGACATTCTGTATCCGTCCGTATGATTCGATTGTTTTTGCTAGTTTTTTTATACTTTAGCTGGGACTTATAGGGACATTGTTGTCACCTAATATCCTCCAAGTAAATGAGAGAGAGAGAAGATACGTTCGGAGACATTTATAGAGAATTTGAGAAGCTGTTTATTTGAATTAGGGGATGTGCATAGATGGCCCGGTGACAGTTTAGGACGCAGTTTGTCAACATATGGTAACCCAATAAGCATAAATTCATCATCAAAAAGATGTTTTCCAAATAACAGATGTAACCACCTCAAATAAATGTACTACTATTTCTAAATGGTTGATATCCTTCAAATGAAATAGATTCGTCTATAATGTTAGTAGAGCACCGTCTCTGTTATAAGGACAAGTGACAGGTCGCAAATAATGC